CATGTGGCTCACCTCCTTGGCCCAGGAATCAAACTTACACTGAAATGACTGCTGCTAGCTTCCTACTCCTGTGCTTTAACCTGTTGCACCCCCAGTAAGGGCCACATAAAAATTTTTTATTAGTAAAAGAAGCCATTAACCTACTGAAATAAGATTCAAAATTAAAATTCATTTTAATTATTCACTTAATCTTAGCTAAGGTCAGAATCAACAAATAAAAGGTTGAAGCTACCTAGAAAGAAATGAGTTATAGTTTTTGAGGAGTGTATGCTCTTAAGTACAACAACCATGTTTACTTCCAAGTTTCCCCATTGTTCCCCAGTGTAATGGATTCCACATGTCAGAAAACCAGTGATTTTGTACCTCCTCCCATATAGGGAAATGTCTGCTTCCACCCTTTGAATTTGGGTTGGCCTGTAATGGGCTACGGCAGAATGTGACTGAAGACTGCTATTTGTGAGCTAAGTTTGAGGAGGTCCTAGGTATTTCCTCTTGTGGACTTCTGCTGCTGCTATGACAAATCCATGCCACACTGCTAGAGAATGAAAGATAATGTGGAACAGAGTCAGTCGTGGCAACTGAAGCTAACTTGCAGGCCAACCTCAGTGCATGAGAAAGCCCAACAGAGATAACACTCTGGCCCAACACTCTGGCCCAAAACCAAAGCATGAACAAGGTGTGACCTGTTGGCCTAGGGGTTAAGTCTCACAACTATCAACCACTGAAGCCTGAGTTTCCTAAAGCCTGAGTTCAGTCCCCAGCCAGGGATCTAACCTACATTTGGCACAGCAGACCTTTTCTTGTCTACTAATCCACACTCTATCTAGTGAATCCTCTCAGCCCCCACACCTCTGACCTACACCCCAGTTCTTACATGGAGAAGAAAAATATATGAATGAACCATCTATAGCTATAGACATGTGAGCAATAATAAATAATTGTTTTAAGCCACTGAGTTTTAGAGTGGTTTGATATGAGCAACAGCTGATTGCAGGTCTTCTAAGGATAAAAAGCGTAATGCCTGTTAATGTATATAGCACATTGTCTGGCATGTGGTAGTAAGTACATATTAGCTGCATTTGTAGCTGTTTTAATAGGGCTAGATAGCAAATTTTTCTCTTAATATTTATTTTATTTATGCATACAAGAACTGGGGTACAGGCCAGAGGTGCAGGGGTTGAGAGGATTCACCAGAGACAGTGGGGAGCAGAATAGACGGATGACTGAAATGCACTACTGAGGAGAGCAGCCAGTGAGACAGGAGAAGTCTGCTGTGCCATATGGGTCACCTTTCTGGTCTGGAATCGAACTCAAGCCTACAAATGGCCAATGCAGTGGCTGGCTATAGCTTGAAAACACTGAGACTTTAAACCCTGTGCCACAGGAGGCCCAATAGCAAGTGTTTTTTTGTTTGTTTGTTTGTTTTTTAATAACAGCTTTATTAAGATTCACATACCTTAAAATTCATTATGTTTTATTTTTTGAATTGTTATTTATATTTATATGTATAATATATTATTCTATTTTTCTTACAGTGTTTAAGAAAAACACTGAATTTTTTTTTTAATTCATTATCTTTAAAGTGTGCAGTTCATTGAGTTTTCGGGAATATTTTTATCACAACCCTCCCACCCCACCCCCCAACACACACACAAAGCCTATTGGTAGTCATTCTCCATTTTTCCCAGCTCCTAGCAACCATTAATTTAATATTTTGTCTCCAAAAATTGACCTATTGGGCCTCCCTTGTGGTGCAGCAGTTTAAGTCTCAACACCTTCAAGCTATGACCAGCCATTGCAGCCTAAGTTAGATCCCTGGCCAGGAAAGTGACCCACATGGGTCAGCAGACCTTTCTGTCTCACCTGCTGTTCCCTTCAGCAGTGTACTTCAGTGGATCCACCTGTTCTGCTCCCCACTCTGTCTCCGGTGAATCCTTTCATCCCTCAACCCCGCATCTGACCAACATCCCAGTTCTTGTATGCATAAATAAAAATAAATCTTAAAAAAAAGGCCTAGTTAATGGACATTTCATGTAATTATAGAATTATACTATGTTTAGTCTTGTGACAGACTTCTTTCCCTTTGTTTAAGCATTTATACATGTTGTAGCAGGTATCAAAATTTCATTTGTTGTTACTGAAGTCATACAGTATTCTATTGTATGACTGCACCACATTTTATTTATCCATTCATCAATTCATGGCATATAACTAAAAGTAGAATTTCTGGGTCATTTGGTAACTCCCTTTTTACCTTTTTGAGGAACTGCTGATCTGTTTTCCAAAATGGGTCTCCCATTTACAATTCCAGCAACAATGTATGAGGCACTGGTTTTTTTACATCTTTTCCAACATGTGTTATTGTCCATCTTTTTTAGCTATCCTTGTGAATGTGGTATTGCAGTGTATTTTCATTTGCATTTTCCTTGTGACTAAAGGGTGTTGAGAATCTTTGTGTAGAGAGTTGTCTACTTAAATTGTCCATTTTTTAATTAGGTTGGATTTTTATTGTTGAGTTGTAAAAAGTGCTTTTTATATTATGAATATTAGTCCTTTACCAAGTACATGTGCAGATATTTTCTCCCAGTCTATAGATTGTCTTTTACTTTCTTGGGGTAGCCTTTGAAGAGGTTGTTTTTAATTGTCATGAAGTCCTAGTATCTATTTTTATTTTTGTAACTTGATCTTTTGGCATCTTTAAGAAACCTGCCTAATCCAAGGTCACAAAGATTTACCATGTTTTCTTCTTAGAGCATTATAGTTTTAGTACTTACATATATAGGTCTATGATCTATTTTGAGAGGTCTGATTTTATTCTTTTACATACAGATAAAAGAATATCAGTAGTGAAGACTGCTCGTTTCCCTATTGTATTGTCTTGGTACCTGTGTTAAAAAATCAACTGACTTGAGATATAAAGGTTTATATCTGAGCTCTCAGTTTAATTGATCTGTAACCAATAGTAAAAAAAAACTTTTAAAAATAGACAGGACCTCTCCCCTGAGGTTAAGTCTCAACGCTGTGAAACTGTCCGCAGCCACTGTAGCACAAGTGCACAAGTTCTATCCCCAGCCAGGGAGCTGACCCACATGGCACAGCAGACCTCCCCTGTCTGACCCGCTGCTCCCCTCAGCAGTGTATTCCCATACCTCTGACCTATACCCCAGTGTTTGTATGTATGTATGTATGTATAAATAAATTAAATCTTTAATTTAAAGGTTGCTATGGTTTTGATAGATAATCATTAGGTTTAAAGAACTGCTCCTATTAGTGAACTGTTTTTAGTGAGACACTGGTGAGGTAGAGTTACAAAATAGTCATTCTTTGAACTATCAAACCTAATATTGATAGAACAGAGAAAAGGCCTGTAGTATATGATGGTTGCCTCCCTGGTGGCTCAATAGGTTGGAGCACAGCACTGTGAGGCTGGCCTCAGTGGCTTTAGCACTAGTTTGATCCCCAGCCAGGGAAGTGACCCACATGATGCAGCAGATTTCTCTTGCCCACTGCTCCCCTCAGCAGTGGACTTTATCCATCTGCCTGTTCTACTCCCCACTCTATCTCTGGTAAATCCTCTGGCCTGTACCCTGTTCTGTATGCATAAATAAAATAAATATTAAAAAACAACAACAACAACTGGAGGCTTTTATCTAGGTTAAGAAGAAGTAACCTCGGAACTTTATCAATCATCTTTTTTTTCTTTTTTTAAGATTTATTCATTTATGCATGAACGACCTGGGGTGCAGGACAAAAGTGCAGGGAGTAAGAGGATTCACCAGAGACAGAGTGGGGAGCAGAACAGGGAGACAGACCAAAATACACTACTGAGTGGAGCAGCAGGCAAGACAGGAGAGGCCTGCTGCACCATGTGGATCCCCTCACAGCTGGGATCAAAGTCGTGCTGCAGTGGCTGCTGATAGCTTCATACTGAGAGCATGGAGGAGAACAAAGGAGTAGGATAGGGTGGCCAGATACTTTTTGGGTGATATTGGGGTCATACGTAATTTGGAACTAGAGAAGGTTGAGATTGGGTGAACTGCAATTGAAAAACAACTGATATGAAAGGTTAGGATTGGCTTTGGGGTTAGCTGATCACAGAAGACAGTGATGGAAAAGGGAGTTGAGGTAGTTGAAGTATGGGACAATTGGCATTAAGAAAATGTAGCTGGCCAGAGATGGGCATTGAATGGTGTTGTGTATCAAGTGGAGATAGATGCTGTATGGTATTAACATGCTAGGTGGTTGTGTTATTGATTGCCAGGACCACCCACAGGTAATGTAATTCTACAGGAGACTCAGAAGTCAGCAAGTAGTTACAAATGTGTGTGCTGTGTAACAGTGAGAGAATCCAGGACAAAACCACCAAAGGGAAAAAGTACATTGGGCAAACTTTTAAGAGACCGGGGGCATGCCTCCAATACAGGGCAATTACACAAAACAAACGATCCTGCAGAAGTAGTTTATGCTAGCACGTGTGAAATGCTGCCAACCAGGGAAACTCAATTTCCGTGCCCAGGGTTCTTTCACTGCGGCCAGGCACGGGGCTCCTAGAAGGAAAGCAGGCGTTCAGCATAAATCACATGGTTTGTATACAGTTGAGGCACAGGGTTAAAGAAAACAGAACAGAGAACATTCTCCAAATAATGAGTTGCTTAATGTTTTTTAATTTTATGTAAATTATTTCATACTGTCCATAAGTTTTCACTCAATGTTATTTTTTTAGAGGTTTCCATGTCATGCCTGTAAGTAAGCTTTATTACTTACTGCATGCTATTCCAATAGGTGGCCATGTCGCTAGCCTTTCTTCGGTCAATAGACATTTGTACTTTTTACAGTTTCCTGTAATTCATGCTCTGTCACTATGGACATTGTTATATAGACTTTTCAGTGTTTGTGTGTCTCCCTAGAATAAGCCAGTCTGTAGCACTTTTTACATATTGTCGATATTGGTCTATTATACAAATATCTTTCCAGTGTGGCTTACTTTTTGCTCTTTTTAGGAGCACAGAGACAATGCTGAAAGGAATGACAAGGCTTATCTCCAGGGTCCATAAGGTGAGTGCTAAACAACCTTAATGATTCGTGCAAATTTGTTTAGGTACATTTCTTATTATTGCATGGATTTATCGTATCCAAAATCAAATGTGGAGAACTTAAGCTGACTATTGCTTTAATTTGCAAATCTACACTTAAAAGAAAAGTCACAATTCCATTTCTCTTCCTATTCACTTCATTCCCAGCTGCCCTAAAAATCTTTAAGAACAGGTCTCAGAATAGTTTTGCTTGGGAATTTACCATGTCAAGGAAAATTAGCATTTTTAAAATAGACAAACTTGGTTGTAGTTATCTTTATTAACTTTCATTCTTTTGTTGAATAATTATTATTCTTTAATGAAGTATTTAAAAAAAAAATAATTGCGTTTCTAACCCTAACCCTATTCTTATTTTTTAATAGAATAATGAAAGCATATATTTAAAAAAACATTCTGTTGCTTTACTTTCTTCTGTCACTTATTTAGCAAATATTTTTCAGTGCCTTCCATATGACAGATTTTTGCTATTCTAAGATGACTCATTTCACTAATAATAGTATTTGTTTGACACTTAATATTTTAAAGCACTGTACTAAGTGCTTTATTTCTTTTAATCCTATTACCACCCTGTGAAGTACATAATATGTTTGTTTCACAGATACAGAAGCAAGGTTAGGAAGGCTAAATTGAGCCTTCCGGGTGGCACAGGGGTTAAAGTCTCAGCACTATCAAGCTATACCCAGCCACTGCAGCATGAGTTCAATCCTTAGTCAGGGAACTAACCCACATGGTGCAGCAAACCTCACCTGTCTCCCCGCTGCTCCTCTCAGCAGTGCATTTCAGTAGGTCCACCTGTTCTGTTCCTCACTCTGTCTCTGGTGAATCCTTCGCACCCCCCACACCTCCAGCCTACACCCAAGTTCTTCTATGCAAAAATAAATAAATAAATCTTAAAAAAAAGAAGAAGAAGAAAGTCTAAATCACTCAGCTAAGATAACAGGCTGTGAAGTTGCAGAGCCCAGACTAGGTATCAGGTCCTATACCTGATGGGTCTAACTTTATGGCCTGTACTTTTCATCACTGTGCCATATTGCACTGTGTGGTCCACATTCTCTGGGACCTCGGTGTTCAGTAGTGGAATCATGCAACATAGTTATTATACTGTGGTACTTTTACAGCACCCAGGAGGAACTGGGATAGTAGCATCCAGAGGAAATCCTTGCAGAGCTGAACCCTAAAAGATGAGAACGAGCCAGAGGGCTTAGTCACTTCCATCTGATCCTTAATTATAGACTAGATATCCTAAAAAGGGAACCTTTCCTCCTATAAGATTCACCTTTTTCCAAGGTTTCATAATAAACCTATGTGCTTAAAATAATCTACTGTTAGAAAATAAAATGAAAATTAAAAAAATTCAAAGAGAGAGGTCAATTCAGCCTCAAAAGATTATATTAAAAGGCTGGCATTTCTTTTTCTATCACAGCAGATAGGAAAAACCTAAGGCACTCCCTGGTAGGACAGCACTGAGAGGCTACAGCCACTTCAGCATGAGTTCAGTCCCCGCCCCAGGGGTGATCCACATGGCAAGCCACATGGCCTCTCCTGGCCCACCTGCTGCTCCCTTCAGCAGTCTACCTCGTCTGTCTGCCTGTTCTGCTCCCCACTCTATCTGTTCCCCACTCTGTCTCTGGTGAATCTTCTTTACTGCCCCTGAACCTCTGGTTCTGTATGCATAAATAAATAAATCTTTTTAAAAAAAAGAAAAAGAAAAACCAAAGATACCAAAAGAATTCTGTGTTCTTGTAGGTTGGTTTAATTGGCTCATAAACGTTGTTCTCTCAGGAACTGTAGAATGTTCATTCTGGAGCAATGTGAAGTTGTACATATGGTGGTTTTCCCTGGAAACAGACTAGCTGGATGATACCATATATAACACTCTTAAGAAGTAAGGAATCCATTTTGGGAGTGTTTAATTTGCTGCAAGCAGTATTTTTAAAAGTCAAAGGATTCCTATAGAAATAGCACCATCTTGTGGCTCGTAAATATCTTTCATTTTCCATTTGTGACTTTAGAGGCATTATTTCTCAATACACTTAAGAAAATTGAATAAAATCAGTACTAGAATGTATTGTTCAGATCATTATGCTGGGGTAATAACTCCTGAATTCCCCTTGGCTTAACACAGTAAGTGAAACAATTGTATTTTGTTCTTGTTGTTGGTTTACAAATGGTTTGCAGTTAAATTGTGGGAGGGAGTGGATAGAGGGATGAAGTTTCACTCTCCTTGAATGCTATCTCAGCTGTAGATTTTCAGATGTATATTTTAAACATGGCAAAAAAGAGATTGTAGCTGCTGTTCACTGGCTTATATAGTTTAATAGTCACAACTTGTCACATGACCCAAGTCTGTCTGTACAAGGAAAGCTGAGCAATGTAGAGTATTTGGATATTTTATGAACATTGCTGTCTCTGCCATTCTCAGACAAAGTTAAAGCAATCTGACTATAGTTTATTACTTTTTTTTTTTAGATTTATTTATTTATTCATACAGAACTGGGGTACAGGCCAGAGATGCGGAGGGTGAGAGGCTTCACCAGACACAGAGCAGGGAGCAGAACAGGCAGATCGAGGAAGTACACTGCTGAGGGCAGCAGAAGAGAGGTCAGAAGAGGTCTGCCACGCCATGTGGTCACCTCCGGGGCAGGCAGGGATCGAACTCATGTGGAAGTGGCTTTAGCCTCTCAGTGCTGTGCTTTAACCCGCTGCGCCACCAGGAAGGGCCAGTTTATTACTTTTTATTAAGATATGCAAGTTCTAGTTCTAAGATTTCTGTGTGCAGTTTGCTGACTTGCATATAGTATAGTTTACTTTCTAAGTTAGAAACTGTTAGTTCCTATTACACATCTCTAACAAAAGATGATTTTTTTTTTTTCTAGGCGCCGGTATGAAGTATTTGTGGTGTGTTAAGTACTTAAAGGAGGAGATACAAAGATAAATGAAACATGATCCCTATTATTCCAAGTATCTGTGGCGTAGGAGACAGGAGACAAACATTGTGTATGATAATATGATATAATAATAAAGAATAGAGATTTGGGGGTCACATAAACCTGAATTTGATTTCTTGTTTTACCACCTACAACTGTCTCTAGTCAAAATCTGTTAACTTCCTGAAACATCACTTCTGTCAGAAAATAGGCATGGTGATATTTTATTTAGCCTGTAGGATCTTGCTTCAAAATTAATGTGTGTAAAATAGTATGTTACCTAGCACAGTAAAAATGTCATGCATTACCATAAAAGTAATGTCAGCAGAGAAGGAAAGGTAAGGAACTTTTGACCAGTATGGTATCTGTCAACTCTTCACAGAAGATAGACGTTTGAGATAAGCCTTAAAGAAATGAATGAGATTGGGCTTTTCCTGGTTGCACAGTGGGTTAAAGCACAGCACTGTGTAGTTATCCACAGCCACTGCATCATGAGTAGCCAGGGAGCTGACCCACATGGTGCAGCAAAACTCTCATGTCTTGCCTACTGCTCCCTTAGCAGAGTATTTAAGTAGCTGTGCCTGTTCTGCTCCCTGCTTTATCTGATGAATCCTCTCCCCCCTTTCCCCACATCTCTGGCCTACACCCCAGGCCTGGTATGCATAAATAAACAAATCTTTATTAAAAAAAGAAAGAAAAAGAAATAAGATTTAAGTAGAAGGGGAAGTTGATGTAAAATGAGCAGAAATACAGAGGCATAAAATTGAATAACGTGTTTTAGAATGGTCATGTGACTGGAATTTGGCGCTCTTACAGGAGTGGAACTAGAGTGATAGGTTCTAGTCATCACACAACTATGACTAATATGCTGAGAATTCTGAGACTTATTTTGACATTAGAAGGGAACTATCCAAGCTTTTTAATTAACTGAAGATTAATCAGTTATTTGGGAGAATAAATCTTGTAGACTATGAAAGATAAAGAGTCAGAGATTTAGAGGTAAAAACACAAATTAGAGTTTTTAAGGTCTTGTAAAGTATGTTAGTGTTATGAGGAAAGGTACATTTTATGCACTCATGGCAGAATAAATGTAAGTATCGGGAGCTTTCATAGTACCTGTTGGATTTTTTAACAGCATCTCCTTTAGTATGGCCACCTCTCAAATTCGTGTTCTACCTCTGTCTTAATTATTCCATACTGATTTAATCTTTTCAGTTCTACATAAGACCTCTTATCCTTCTACTCAGTTGGGGAGTTCTCTAGTTAAGCATTTCTTCAACATTGTCTCCTGAAATCTCACCCTCTCCTTCTCCCCAGTTAAAGTTTCCTCATGTGCTTCCCAGAGTGGTTTCCTTTCAGTGAGCTGGAAGCTTTACAGATTCCCTTATTATACTTCCTAATGAAAACTACTTTATTTCAGGACACAGTTATTAGCAAGAAAAATTGTTGCAGGGAGTGTAATTATACCTTTCAAATAACATTGTACTAATCCTTTAATAACTAAGGTTACTGTGATTTCTAAACTAAACATTTGAGAATTTTCCAGTGCTGGCCACCATTGGTCACTTTGAGTAAGAGCATTTAAAAAGTTTCCTGTTTTGGTTTGTTAATGGCTATGCTATGCTCCTGAACAGTCCAGTGGAATTGTTTACTTCCATGTGGAACAGAGCCCTGACATAGCAACACAAGCTGGAACAGATTTAGAGTATGAGTAATAGCATTGGATTTAGAGAATTATAAATAATAACAATGGGCAAAACCCTTAACTTCCTGAAACATTACTTCTGCCATACATTTACATAAAAGTAAATGTTAGTAACATTTTTCCCTGTTAATAGGCATGGCTTAAAACCCCGGTGCTACAACAAGCATAAAAGCCTGATAATTCCAAAATATGAAATTGGTATCTTTTATAGTTGGACCCTGGACGATTTTTGCATATGGGGATCCAGACACCACAAAGCCTTGCTGCTCACCTAGATAACCAAGTTCCAGTTGAGAGTTCCAGAGCTGTTTCTCGAACTATTGAGAATGACCCGGTGAGTGCTGATATGCATAAGGGTTATTTTTCAGGGATTGTCACCTGTGTTGCTGCCATTTTATATATATCAGGAAAAACTGACACCCACAGACACTAAATGAGTTTACAGAGAGTGAGACAGATAGTGCACCTGAAACAGCAATCTGAACCCAGATCTTCTCCCACTGTTGTCTAATACTGTTGTGACATAAAGTACTCAGACAGGTCAGTCCACATCTCTGATTCAACCCCAGCCATTGAACTCACTTACACAAGGATTTACTGGGCACACAGTAGATACATTAAAAATACTAAGTCATTCCTTAGAAGTTAAATTTAGCAGTTATTATTGATTTTACTGTAAAATGGGTCTGCGTGTTTTTCCCTTAAAGGACCAAGAGTACATATTTTAGGTTTTTGGGCTAAAATGATCCCTGTCACAATTACTTCACCTTTGCCATAAATAAATGGGTGTGGCTATGTTCTAGTAAAATTATATATATATATATATGAAAACAGGTAACCAGCCACATTTTAACAGCCCAGGTATGCTGAGAATCTTAAATTGATTAACTTTCTTATTCAAGATCACTTAGTAGAGTGGGTACAAAACCCAATTTTCCTGATATCCAATCTGGCATTATTTTCCACCTTTCAAAATGTATTTCCTAGTATCTAGACAGTTAACTTCTTGATTTGTTGGTAAGAATAGCCCTTAAAGTAAAATTTACAGGAGAAGCTAGGATTCTAACAGTATCCAGAATTGCATTTTATGCTACAGTTCCTGTTAGGCTAAATGTTGATTTCTTTTCACCTTCCCATCATCATTGCTATTTCTCATAAATAGCAATATTTATAAAGGGAACTGAAGAGAACCAACAGGTTTTTGTCCCTCCCCCTACCTTCTACATATCCCTATTTTAACATATGCTGTGTGTGGACGGGAAAAAAAAAATACTTCTTGGTACCCAAAACCCTATCTCAGCAGAATGTGTTTTACTTATGTATTTAGTATTCACCTACTTTCAAAACACAAAATGAAATAGAATAAATGAATGAAGTCATTGAAGTGTCTTTCAGTTTTCCATGTAATTGTAGTCCCTTTATCTGCCCATTCCTCTCGGGTTTCTATGGAAACAGCAGCATGCAGATGAACTTGTCACATGACTGGAACATCTATACACAGCACAGAAGAATCCAGATGGCAAGAATTGTTTCTGCTACCGCTCTATCTAGGATTTATGTTGCTGAGCAACTGGCCTCATCATTCAGGTCAACACCAGCTTTATATGTACACTAGATTTCAACACAGCAACTAGCTTTTTTTTTTTTGGTCAAAGAAGTGAAAGCTACCTTCCCTCTCAAAGAGATGAGTGACTCCTCACTGTGCTCTAAGCGACCCGCTCTGCTTGTTCAAAGTCTGTCACTTTGTTTGTGCTCCCATTATACCTGTGTGCATTTTTGTTTCATAGGCCAAGCATGGGGAGCAGCATGAAGGTCAACACTACAGCATACCCCTCCAGGATCTGAAGGCTGTGTTCCCCTGGGGCCTTCCTACTCGCTTTGAAAAGCAGGTGCTCAAAAGAGGCAAGGGAAATGAAGGGAGCCCAGAACAAGCTGTGGACAGCGGAGGAGTGGAATTCATGACTAGAAACTTTTAGAGATTTGAATCTGAAGAATAAAGATAACTTCAACTATTGATTATCTTCTCTAAAAAATAACGTTTTACTACTTTAGGTCAATGTTTTCCTACTTAAATTTCTTTAATGTTAATCACCTTAAATCATTTTTGGAGCCAGGCAAAATAGTCTCCAATAAATAAGCAATATGCAGTTATTTTCAGACACCTAACAGATTTCTGAAAACCATGGCATTCAAATAATTATTTTAAATGAATTTAATATTTGCCTTAAGATAATATAATGACTAATGTACTGTAGAAAATCATAATCTATTCCTGACCTAAATAGAAATGGTATTTGGATTAGATGCATCATTGTTCTTTCTAGGTCTTTTTCATTCTCTTGGGTTTTCAGAAAATGTAGTTTTGTGGTTGTACTTCAGTCCAAAAAGTACATGTACTTTTGGGTTACTTGGTATTCGTGGAAAGAATTCATAATAAGCTGAAAGTGTAGTTTATTGGCATAATTGGTTCTTCTAACTAAATCCTGCTGAATTATTTTTAGAATAATCATCTTAGAAATGCCTCCTTAATGAAATATCAAACTTGACTGTGCAGGTGTTTTAATTTATGAGCTGTAGGATGTCATTTCCTTAATATACTTTATTTCAAAAAATCAGAGGAGGAACTAGTAAGATGTCAAAATTTTGCTCAGTTTGAGATAGGACACAACCAGAAGAAATCATATGTAATTGCACTTTAAACTGTTCCAAAACAATCACAGTAAATTCAGGGCTTGGGGGGGTCTACCTTTAATTAAAATTGTTAAATTATTTCTGGAATGGCCTGACCATCAGTGCATTGGAGGGAATTACTCATACATTCTGGTTGCCCTTACCTCTCTCTTTCTTCAATCCAATTGTTCAGTTAAGATTTCTTTATAAAAATACCAACACTATTTTAATCATTATCGGATATACTTGCAAATAGTGTTTTTTAGATATTTTTATGAATGGGCATTACTAAGTACTTAATTTGCAAATTACTTTTATACATTTCAGTGCTTCCTAAATTTTTTCACTAAAGCATCCCTGATGGCAGAAAGGGAGTGAATTTTTTAATTTTATGCCTCGATTCTTTGGTGTGTCTGTGCTGGTGGTTATTAAGGGTGGCCTCGGCCACCAAGAAGCTCATCACTCAGCTGTCGTATGTCTAGTTCTGGAGGGAAGTCTAGGTAGGAATATAGTAAGAATTAGCTGAAAATAAATTTAAAAGAACACAAATTGATTCAATGCTTACCATATATCAGATATTCTGTTAAGTACTTTTTTTTTAATAAAAGTTTTAATGGCAAACACAAAAATTGGATAATAGATCATCAATATAAAAAGTAAATTCTGATGTCAAGAACACAAAGTCTATGGGGGAGTAAAACATTTTTTTTTGTGAAGTTATCTTAAGTTGTTTTGTTTTTGTTTATGATCATTTTTATTTTTTTTATATCATTCTTCATTTTGTGCATTTTTTTTCATCTCTGTTGTAATCCCCCTGGGCTTCCCACCCGTTCAGATCCCATTCCCCCTCCCCCCTTGGATGCTTTTAGTATCAAATTCAACCCTAAGTATTATGAGGTCATCTGTCTGGATTATTTGTAGATTTCAATTAACTGATAAAATAGTTGTGCTTTTTTTTAATAGAAGTAATTGAAAACTATTATGTTACTTGATGCAAGATAATATATCTCAGTTTTTAGATTAATTGTATGGGCATATTTTCAAATTCAAGTCAGTCTAACCTCTCCTAACTGAATAAAGACAAACATGGCAGCTTAGTCCTTTGGGTGCCCTTAGGCTCAGTGTGTATACCGAGAACTGGGTAGAAGCTCCGTGTATACCAAGAACTAGGTAGAAGGTCCGTATTCCACCCCCTCACCTCCTCCTTATCACTAGGTGAAGACATTCAATGAAGCGTGCCTGATGGTGAGGAACCCAGCCTTGGAGCTTCTACATTACCTGAAAAATACCAATTTTGCCCATCCAGCTATACGCTATATCCTCTGTATCCTTTCCTGCCTGCCTGTGTCGTCATGCTTTCCTTCCTCAAATTTGGAAAAAGAAGGAAGGCAAGAATACTATTGGTTGACATGGAAATGTGCTTTCTGGTAATACTTTCTTTAACAAGTGCTTTAGATGGGGAGAAGGGAACAGGAAAAACTCTCAGTCTTTGCCATATTATTCATTTCTGTGCAAAACAGAACTGGCTGATACTGCATATTCCAGACGGTAAGAACCTTTTATCTTTTTTTTCTTTAAATTAAATTTTTTTTAAGATCAATTTTTAGTTTTTATACATACAAGAACTGGGTTATAGGCCAGAGGTGTGAGGGTGAGAGGCTTCACCAGAGACAGAGTGGGGAGCAGAACGGGCAGATCTACTGAAAACACTGCTGAGGGGAGCAGCGGGCAGGCCAGGAGAGGACTGCTGTCCCATGTGGGTCAGGACGCTGGTTGAGGATCAAACTGGTGCTGCAGTGTTGCCAGTAGCTTTTTAGTGTTGATACTTAACCCCTTGTAACCTGGGAGGCCCAAGAACCTTCTATCTTTATTACCAACAGTCAGTCATCCTGTTATATCACTATAATTTGTAGCATTGTAGTCTTAATTTGTTAACCAGGCACTGAGAGCTAAGGAAGAAGCTATTGCTCTTGATGCATGGGTCTGAGCTAGTTTCTCAAAATCTCTTCCTGATATTACTGATGAAAGGTTGCAAGGTTCATCCAAAAAAAGGAAATTCAAGGGCCTGCCTTGTGGTGCAGGGGTTAAGTCTCAAAGCTATCAAGCTATCATCAGCCACTGCCATGGCCTAAGTTCAATCCCCAGCCAGGGAGCTAACCCACATGGCACAGCAGAGACCTCCCTGTCTTGCCCAGTGCTCCCCTTAGCAGTGGATTTCAGTTGCTCCACCTGTTCTGCTCCCCACTCTGTTTCTGGTGAATCTTCTCAGCTCCCGTGACACCTCTGACCTAAACTCTAGTTGTTATATGCATAAATTTTAAAAAAAAGAAATTAGTCTAAAAGCTCCCTGATGATAATAATGAAGCAGTTTGGCCCAGGAGTCCCATTTTGATATATAATTCCCAAGAGCATAAACACCCATTTTCGAGCCACCACAGACTTTATTACCACGAGTCAACACTTGTGAATATCCAGAGAGCTTTGATAATAACAGTGTTCTTGCGCAGTCAGCATGGATCTTTTAAAAATCTAAACTTAAATTCTCACACTTTGTTTTTGTTCCTCTTCGTTTTGTTCAGTTTTGTGTGCATCCATGTTTCTATCTTTAAAAACTGCCAGGTAGGGCATCTCTGGTGGTGCAGGGGATTAAGTCTCAGCACTATGAAGCTATCTCCAGCTACTGCAGCAGCAGTTCAATCTCTGACATTGCACAACAGACCTCTCCTACTACTGCTCTCAGCAGCGTAGTTCAGTTAATCTACCTATTCTGCTCCCCATTCTGTCTCTGGTAAATCCTCTCACCTCCACACCTCTCCCCTGCACTTCTGGCCTATACCCCAGTTGTTGTATTCATAGATAAATAAAATAAAATAAATCTTTAAAAACTAAAAGCTGGGCCTCCTGGTGGCACAGCAGGTTAAAGCACTAAGACATTAAAGCCACTTCCACATGAGTTCGATCCCCGCCCAGGAGGTGACCGCATGGTGTGGCAGACCTCTCCTGACCTGCCCACTGCTCCCCTCAGTGGTGTACTTCCATGATCTGCCTGTTCTGCTCCCCACTCTGTCTCTGGTGAATATCCTCTCACTGCCCCTGTACCTCTGGCCTCTACCCCGGTTTTGTATCCATAGATAAATAAATCTTTTTTAAAAAATAAAAATAAAAACTTCCCAGAAAGCTGAGGATATCTTTAATCCATTTGGTATGCCTAATGTTCTGAAAGGGTAATAATCATGCTTAAGCTGAACCAGAGGGAATAGTAAACCCCTCAAACTTCTAAGAAGGCTTTTAAATATGTATGGGAATTTAAAGTCTTTCTCATTATTTGCATAGGTATATTTTGAGTTGAGTATAATCATGTTCTGCCTAGTTTATGTTCTTGTATCTTTTTTTTAGCCCATCTTTGGGTAAAAAACTGTCGGGATCTTCTGCAGTCCACCTACAACAAACAGCGCTTTGATCAACCTTTAGAGGCCTCGACCTGGCTGAAGAATTTCAAAACTGCAAATGAGCGTTTCTTGAGTCAGGTGACTAGATTTCTTGAGTCAGGTGACTAGATTTCCAGAAGTTTGGTGTTGGACAGTCTTTCAGTAGATTTTTGTCTCATGTCCTCAGTATGAGTAGACTATGGAGAACTAATACTCTGGTGGGGTAACTATTTTTGTATTTCATTCAGACTTTATACTCACAGTCAGTTCACAACTGGAAACTCATTTATCCATGTGAGAGAAAGGGGCAGCTCTAAAGCTTTGCCCATCATAGGTGGCAAAAGTCCAGATGGATTCATTGACTTTTCCTAGGTCATAACCTCAAATCCTCCGGAATCCATCATTTTCTCCAGATCTTTTTCAGAGCAAATAAAATAATAAAATAATTGTTTATTTGTTTTTTAATATGTATTTATTCATACAGGACTGGGGTACAGGCCAGAGATGCGGAGGGTGAGAGGATTCATCAGAGACAGAGCGGGGAGCAGAAGAGGCGGATCAAAGAAGTACACTGCTTAGGGGAGCAGCGGGTAGGTCAGGAGAGGTCTACCATGCCATGTGGTCACCTCCGGGGCAGACGGGGATCGAACTCATGCTGAAGTGGCTTTAGCTTCTTAGTGCTGTGCTTTAACCTACTGCGCCACCAGGGAGGGCCAAAATAATTGTTTACTGTAATTATTCTTAGATATGATTTCAAGGCCAAGGTATTACAACTCTGGATGTAAATCAGAACAAGGGCCTCCCGGGTGGCGTAAGGGGTGAAGTCTCAGCACTATGAAGCTATCTACAGCCATTGCAGTACAAGTTCAATCTGCAGCCAGGGAGCTGACCCACATGGCACAGCAGACCTCTTTTGTCTCACTTGCTGCACCACTCAGCAGTGAGTTTCAGTAGATCTTCCTGTTCTGTTCTCCACTCTGTCTCTGGTGAATCAACTCACCTCCATGTACTTCTGCCCTGTACCCCAGTTCTTATATGCATAAATAAATAATTCTTTAAAGAAAAAAAAGCTTTAAAATAAATCAGAACTACATAAGATCTTCTTAAAAATGTGAACACCAAGACTCATCTTGGACCATTTCTCTCAGAATCCCTTATTTGTTCTTTTAAAATGCCATGCAGTGGGCCCTCCCTGATGGCACA